GTGGGATGAGCAGACGGTGTAGTGGGATGAGCAGACGGGTATAGGGATGAGCCAGCAGGATGAGGTTACAGAACTCTCTAACTCTACCTACTCATGGGAATCGTTTATTTGCGGCCGGAATTCTTTCGTAGGAATTCCGAAAACTATCATAGGAATGTCGCACTAATTATGGGAATAAAAAAAATTCAGGGAAACCAATTATGAGCTATAGGTGGGGCTGGAGACACGTGTTCCCAGCCCCACCCACGGGAATCGTTTATTTGCGGCCGGAATTCTTTCGTAGGAATTCCGAAAATTATCATAGGAATTCATAGGAATGTCGCACTAATTATAGGAATAAAAAAAATTCAGGGAAACCAATTATTAGCCATGAGTAAGGGTTGGAGACACGTGTTCCCAGCCCCACCCACGGGAATCGTTTATTTGCGGCCGGAATTCTCTCGTAGGAATTCCGAAACCTATCATAGGAATTCATATTAATGACGTGCTAATTATATGAATAAAAATAATTCAGGGAAACCAATTATTGGCCATGGGTGGGGCTGGAGACACGTGTTCCCAGCCCCACCCACGGGAATCGTTTATTTGCGGCCGAAATTCTTTCGTAGGAATTCCGAAACCTATCATAGGACCTCATAGGAATGTCGCACTAATTATAGGAATAAAAAAAATTCAGGGAATCCAATTATTAGCCATGGGTAAGGGTTGGAGACACGTGTTCCCAGCCCCACCCACGGGAATCGTTTATTTGCGGCCGGAATTCTTTCGTAGGAATTCCGAAACCTATCATAGGACCTCATAGGAATGTCGCACTAATTATAGGAATAAAAAAAATTCAGGGAAACCAATTATTGGCCATGGGTGGGGCTGGAGACACGTGTTCCCAGCCCCACCCACGGGAATCGTTTATTTGCGGCCGGAATTCTTTCGTAGGAATTCCGAAACCTATCATAGGAATGTCGCACTAATAATAGGAATAAAAAAAATTCAGGGAAACCAATTATTAGCTATAGGTGGGGCTGGAGACACGTGTTTCCAGCCCCACCCACGGGAATCGTTTATTTGCGGCCGGAATTCTTTCGTAGGAATTCCGAAACCTATCATAGGACCTCATAGGAATGACGGCCTAATTAAAGGAATAAAAAAAATTCAGGGAAACCAATTATTAGCCATGGGTGGGGCTGGAGACACGTGTTCCCAGCCCCACCCACGGGAATCGTTTATTTGCGGCCGGAATTCTTTCGTAGGAATTCCGAAACTTATCATAGGAATTCATAGGAATGACGTGCTAATTATAGGAATAAAAATAATTCAGGGAAACCAATTATTGGCCATGGGTGGGGCTGGAGACACGTGTTCCCAGCCCCACCCACGGGAATCGTTTATTTTCGGCCGGAATTCTTTCGTAGGAATTCCGAAACTTATCATAGGACCTCATAGGAATGTCGCACTAATTATAGGAATAAAAAAAATTCAGGGAAACCAATTATTAGCCATGAGTCGGCCTGGAGACACGTGTTCCCAGCCGCAACCATGGGAATCGTTTATTTGCGGCCGGAATTCTTTCGTAGGAATTCCGAAAACTATCATAGGAATGTCGCACTAATTATAGGAATAAAAAAAATTCAGGGAAACCAATTATGAGCTATAGGTGGGGCTGGAGACACGTGTTCCCAGCCCCCCTAACGGGAATCGTTTATTTGCGGCCGGAATTCTTTCGTAGGAATTCCGAAAATTATCATAGGAATTCATAGGAATGTCGCACTAATTATAGGAATAAAAAAAAATTCAGGGAAACCAATTATTAGCCATGAGTAAGGGTTGGAGACACGTGTTCCCAGCCCCACCCACGGGAATCGTTTATTTGCGGCCGGAATTCTCTCGTAGGAATTCCGAAACCTATCATAGGACCTCATAGGAATGTCGCACTAATTATAGGAATAAAAAAAATTCAGGGAAACCAATTATTAGCCATGGGTGGGGCTGGAGACACGTGTTCCCAGCCGCGCCCACGGGAATCGTTTATTTGCGGCCGGAATTCTTTCGTAGGAATTCCGAAACCTATCATAGGACCTCATAGGAATGTCGCACTAATTATAGGAATTAAAAAAATTCAGGGAAACCAATTATTGGCCATGGGTAAGGGTTGGAGACACGTGTTCCCAGCCGCAACCATGGGAATCGTTTATTTGCGGCCGGAATTCTTTCGTAGGAATTCCGAAAACTATCATAGGAATGTCGCACTAATTATAGGAATAAAAAAAATTCAGGGAAACCAATTATGAGCTATAGGTGGGGCTGGAGACACGTGTTCCCAGCCCCACCCACGGGAATCGTTTATTTGCGGCCGGAATTCTTTCGTAGGAATTCCGAAAATTATCATAGGAATTCATAGGAATGTCGCACTAATTATAGGAATAAAAAAAATTCAGGGAAACCAATTATTAGCCATGAGTAAGGGTTGGAGACACGTGTTTCCAGCCCCACCCACGGGAATCGTTTATTTGCGGCCGGAATTCTTTCGTAGGAATTCCGAAACCTATCATAGGACCTCATAGGAATGTCGCACTAATTATAGGAATAAAAAAAATTCAGGGAAACCAATTATTAGCCATGGGTGGGGCTGGAGACACGTGTTCCCAGCCGCGCCCACGGGAATCGTTTATTTGCGGCCGGAATTCTTTCGTAGGAATTCCGAAACCTATCATAGGACCTAAAAGGAATGTCGCACTAATTATAAGAATAAAAAAAAATCAGGGAAACCAATTATAAGCCATGGGTAAGGGTTGGAGACACGTGTTCCCAGCCCCACCCACGGGAATCGTTTTTTTGCGGCCGGAATTCTTTCGTAGGAATTCCGAAACCTATCATAGAAACTCATAGGAATGACGCACTAATTATAGGAATAAAAATAATTCAGGGAAACCAATTATTGGCCATGGGTGGGGCTGGAGACACGTGTTCCCAGCCCCAACCACTTGAATCGTTTATTTGCGGCCGGAATTCTTTCGTAGGAATTTCGAAACCTATCATAGGATTGTCGCACTAATTAAAGGAATAAAAAAAATTCAGGGAAACCAATGATTTACCATGGGTGGGGCTGGAGACACGTGTTCCCAGCCGCGCCCACGGGAATCGTTTATTTGCGGCCGGAATTCTTTCGTAGGAATTCCGAAAACTATCATAGGAATGTCGCACTAATTATAGGAATAAAAAAAATTCAGGGAAACCAATTATGAGCTATAGGTGGGGCTGGAGACACGTGTTCCCAGCCCCCCTAACGGGAATCGTTTATTTGCGGCCGGAATTCTTTCGTAGGAATTCCGAAAATTATCATAGGAATTCATAGGAATGTCGCACTAATTATAGGAATAAAAAAAAATTCAGGGAAACCAATTATTAGCCATGAGTAAGGGTTGGATACACGTGTTCCCAGCCCCACCCACGGGAATCGTTTATTTGCGGCCGGAATTCTCTCGTAGGAATTCCGAAACCTATCATAGGACCTCATAGGAATGTCGCACTAATTATAGGAATAAAAAAAATTCAGGGAAACCAATTATTAGCCATGGGTGGGGCTGGAGACACGTGTTCCCAGCCGCGCCCACGGGAATCGTTTATTTGCGGCCGGAATTCTTTCGTAGGAATTCCGAAAACTATCATAGGAATGTCGCACTAATTATAGGAATAAAAAAAATTCAGGGAAACCAATTATGAGCTATAGGTGGGGCTGGAGACACGTGTTCCCAGCCCCACCCACGGGAATCGTTTATTTGCGGCCGGAATTCTTTCGTAGGAATTCCGAAAATTATCATAGGAATTCATAGGAATGTCGCACTAATTATAGGAATAATAAAAATTCAGGGAAACCAATTATTAGCCATGAGTAAGGGTTGGAGACACGTGTTTCCAGCCCCACCCACGGGAATCGTTTATTTGCGGCCGGAATTCTTTCGTAGGAATTCCGAAACCTATCATAGGACCTCATAGGAATGTCGCACTAATTATAGGAATAAAAAAAATTCAGGGAAACCAATTATTAGCCATGGGTGGGGCTGGAGACACGTGTTCCCAGCCGCGCCCACGGGAATCGTTTATTTGCGGCCGGAATTCTTTCGTAGGAATTCCGAAACCTATCATAGGACCTAAAAGGAATGTCGCACTAATTATAAGAATAAAAAAAAATCAGGGAAACCAATTATAAGCCATGGGTAAGGGTTGGAGACACGTGTTCCCAGCCCCACCCACGGGAATCGTTTTTTTGCGGCCGGAATTCTTTCGTAGGAATTCCGAAACCTATCATAGAAACTCATAGGAATGACGCACTAATTATAGGAATAAAAATAATTCAGGGAAACCAATTATTGGCCATGGGTGGGGCTGGAGACACGTGTTCCCAGCCCCAACCACTTGAATCGTTTATTTGCGGCCGGAATTCTTTCGTAGGAATTTCGAAACCTATCATAGGATTGTCGCACTAATTAAAGGAATAAAAAAAATTCAGGGAAACCAATGATTTACCATGGGTGGGGCTGGAGACACGTGTTCCCAGCCGCGCCCACGGGAATCGTTTATTTGCGGCCGGAATTCTTTCGTAGGAATTCCGAAAACTATCATAGGAATGTCGCACTAATTATAGGAATAAAAAAAATTCAGGGAAACCAATTATGAGCTATAGGTGGGGCTGGAGACACGTGTTCCCAGCCCCCCTAACGGGAATCGTTTATTTGCGGCCGGAATTCTTTCGTAGGAATTCCGAAAATTATCATAGGAATTCATAGGAATGTCGCACTAATTATAGGAATAAAAAAAAATTCAGGGAAACCAATTATTAGCCATGAGTAAGGGTTGGATACACGTGTTCCCAGCCCCACCCACGGGAATCGTTTATTTGCGGCCGGAATTCTCTCGTAGGAATTCCGAAACCTATCATAGGACCTCATAGGAATGTCGCACTAATTATAGGAATAAAAAAAATTCAGGGAAACCAATTATTAGCCATGGGTGGGGCTGGAGACACGTGTTCCCAGCCGCGCCCACGGGAATCGTTTATTTGCGGCCGGAATTCTTTCTTAGGAATTCCGAAACCTATCATAGGACCTCATTGGAATGTCGCACTAATTATAGGAATTAAAAAAATTCAGGGAAACCAATTATTAGCCATGGGTGGGGCTGGAGACACGTGTTCCCAGCCGCGTCCACGGGAATCGTTTATTTGCGGCCGGAATTCTTTCGTAGGAATTCCGAAACCTATCATAGGACCTCATAGGAATGTCGCACTAATTATAGGAATAAAAAAAATTCAGGGAAACCAATTATTGGCCATGGGTAAGGGTTGGAGACACGTGTTCCCAGCCGCAACCATGGGAATCGTTTATTTGCGGCCGGAATTCTTTCGTAGGAATTCCGAAAACTATCATAGGAATGTCGCACTAATTATAGGAATAAAAAAAATTCAGGGAAACCAATTATGAGCTATAGGTGGGGCTGGAGACACGTGTTCCCAGCCCCACCCACGGGAATCGTTTATTTGCGGCCGGAATTCTTTCGTAGGAATTCCGAAAATTATCATAGGAATTCATAGGAATGTCGCACTAATTATAGGAATAAAAAAAATCCAGGGAAACCAATTATTAGCCATGAGTAAGGGTTGGAGACACGTGTTCCCAGCCCCACCCACGGGAATCGTTTATTTGCGGCCGGAATTCTTTCGTAGGAATTCCGAAACCTATCATAGGACCTCATAGGAATGTCGCACTAATTATAGGAATAAAAAAAATTCAGGGAAACCAATTATTAGCCATGGGTGGGGCTGGAGACACGTGTTCCCAGCCGCGCCCACGGGAATCGTTTATTTGCGGCCGGAATTCTTTCGTAGGAATTCCGAAACCTATCATAGGACCTAAAAGGAATGTCGCACTAATTATAAGAATAAAAAAAAATCAGGGAAACCAATTATAAGCCATGGGTAAGGGTTGGAGACACGTGTTCCCAGCCCCACCCACGGGAATCGTTTTTTTGCGGCCGGAATTCTTTCGTAGGAATTCCGAAACCTATCATAGAAACTCATAGGAATGACGCACTAATTATAGGAATAAAAATAATTCAGGGAAACCAATTATTGGCCATGGGTGGGGCTGGAGACACGTGTTCCCAGCCCCACCCACTTGAATCGTTTATTTGCGGCCGGAATTCTTTCGTAGGAATTTCGAAACCTATCATAGGATTGTCGCACTAATTAAAGGAATAAAAAAAATTCAGGGAAACCAATGATTTACCATGGGTGGGGCTGGAGACACGTGTTCCCAGCCCCACCCACGGGAATCGTTTATTTGCGGCCGGAATTCTTTCGTAGGAATTCCGAAACCTATCATAGGAATTCATATAAAAGACGTACTAATTATAGGAATAAAAAAATTCAGGAAAACCAATTATTATCAATGGGTAGGGCTGGAGACACGTTTTCCCAGCCCCACCCACGGGAATCGTATATTTGCGGCCGGAATTCTTTCGTAGGAATTCCGAAACCTATCATAGGACCTCATAGGAATGTCGCACTAATTATAGGAATAAAAAAAAATCAGGGAAACCAATTATGAGCTATAGGTGGGGCTGGAGACACGTGTTCCCAGCCCCACCCACGGGAATCGTTTATTTGCGGCCGGAATTCTTTCGTAGGAATTCCGAAACTTATCATAGGAATTCATAGGAATGTCGCACTAATTATAGGAATAAAAAAAAATCAGGGAAACCAATTATTAGCCATGAGTAAGGGTTGGAGACACGTGTTCCCAGCCCCACCCACGGGAATCGTTTATTTGCGGCCGGAATTCTTTCGTAGGAATTCCGAAACCTATAATAGGACCTCATAGGAATGTCGCACTAATTATAGGAATAAAAAAAATTCAGGGAAACCAATTATTAGCCATGGGTGGGGCTGGAGACACGTGTTCCCAGCCCCACCCACGGGAATCGTTTATTTGCGGCCGGAATTCTGTCGTAGGAATTCCGAAACCTATCATAGGAATTTATTGAAATGACGTACTTATTATAGGAATAAAAAAAATTCAGGAAAACCAATTATTAGCCATGGGTGGGGCTGGAGACACGTGCTCCCAGCCGCACACACGGGAATCGTTTATTTGTGGCCGGAATTCTTTCGTAGGAATTCCGAAACCTATCATAGAAAATCATAGGAAGGACGCACTAATTATAGGAATAAAAATAATTCTGGGAAACCAATTATTAGCCATGGGTGGGGCTGGAGACACGTCTTCAAAGCCGCACACACGGGAATCGTTTATTTGCGGCCGGAATTCTTTCGTAGGAATTCCGAAACCTATCAAAGAAACTCATAGGAATGACGCACTAATTATAGGAATAAAAATAATTCAGGCAAACTAATTATTAGCCATGGGTGGGACTGGAGACACGTGTTCCCAGCCCCACCCACTTGAATCGTTTATTTGCGGCCGGAATTCTTTCGTAGGAATTTCGAAACCTATCATAGGAATGTCGCACTAATTAAAGGAATAAAAAAAATTCAGGGAAACCAATGATTTACCATGGGTGGGACTGGAGACACGTGTTCCCAGCCCCACCCACTTGAATCGTTTATTTGCTCCCGGAATTCTTTCGTAGGAATTCCGAAACCTATCATAGGACCTCATAGGAATGTCGCACTAATTATAGGAATAAAAAAAATCCAGGGAAACCAATTATTAGCTATAGGTGGGGCTGGAGACACGTGTTCCCAGCCCCACCCACGGGAATCGTTTATTTGCGGCCGGAATTCTTTCGTAGGAATTCCGAAACTTATCATAGGAATTCATAGGAATGTCGCACTAATTATAGGAATAAAAAAAATCCAGGGAAACCAATTATTAGCCATGAGTAAGGGTTGGAGACACGTGTTCCCAGCCCCACCCACGGGAATCGTTTATTTGCGGCCGGAATTCTTTCGTAGGAATTCCGAAACCTATAATAGGACCTCATAGGAATGTCGCACTAATTATAGGAATAAAAAAAATTCAGGGAAACCAATTATTAGCCATGGGTGGGGCTGGAGACACGTGTTCCCAGCCCCACCCACGGGAATCGTTTATTTGCGGCCGGAATTCTGTCGTAGGAATTCCGAAACCTATCATAGGAATTTATTGAAATGACGTACTTATTATAGGAATAAAAAAAATTCAGGAAAACCAATTATTAGCCATGGGTGGGGCTGGAGACACGTGCTCCCAGCCGCACACACGGGAATCGTTTATTTGTGGCCGGAATTCTTTCGTAGGAATTCCGAAACCTATCATAGAAAATCATAGGAAGGACGCACTAATTATAGGAATAAAAATAATTCTGGGAAACCAATTATTAGCCATGGGTGGGGCTGGAGACACGTCTTCAAAGCCGCACACACGGGAATCGTTTATTTGCGGCCGGAATTCTTTCGTAGGAATTCCGAAACCTATCAAAGAAACTCATAGGAATGACGCACTAATTATAGGAATAAAAATAATTCAGGCAAACTAATTATTAGCCATGGGTGGGACTGGAGACACGTGTTCCCAGCCCCACCCACTTGAATCGTTTATTTGCGGCCGGAATTCTTTCGTAGGAATTTCGAAACCTATCATAGGAATGTCGCACTAATTAAAGGAATAAAAAAAATTCAGGGAAACCAATGATTTACCATGGGTGGGACTGGAGACACGTGTTCCCAGCCCCACCCACTTGAATCGTTTATTTGCTCCCGGAATTCTTTCGTAGGAATTCCGAAACCTATCATAGGACCTCATAGGAATGTCGCACTAATTAAAGGAATAAAAAAAATTCAGGGAAACCAATTATTAGCCATTGGTGGGGCTGGAGACACGTGTTCCCAGCCCCACCCACGGGAATCGTTTATTTGCGGCCGGAATTCTTTCGTAGGAATTCCGAAAATTATCATAGGAATTCATAGGAATGTCGCACTAATTATAGGAATAAAAAAAATTCAGGGAAACCAATTATTAGCCATGAGTAAGGGTTGGAGACACGTGTTCCCAGCCCCACCCACGGGAATCGTTTATTTGCGGCCGGAATTCTTTCGTAGGAATTCCGAAACCTATCATAGGAATTCATATGAATGACGTGCTAATTATATGAATAAAAATAATTCAGGGAAACCAATTATTGGCCATGGGTGGGGCTGGAGACACGTGTTCCCAGCCCCACCCACGGGAATCGTTTATTTGCGGCCGAAATTCTTTCGTAGGAATTCCGAAACCTATCATAGGACCTCATAGGAATGTCGCACTAATTATAGGAATAAAAAAAATTCAGGGAATCCAATTATTAGCCATGGGTAAGGGTTGGAGACACGTGTTCCCAGCCCCACCCACGGGAATCGTTTATTTGCGGCCGGAATTCTTTCGTAGGAATTCCGAAACCTATCATAGGACCTCATAGGAATGTCGCACTAATTATAGGAATAAAAAAAATTCAGGGAAACCAATTATTGGCCATGGGTGGGGCTGGAGACACGTGTTCCCAGCCCCACCCACGGGAATCGTTTATTTGCGGCCGGAATTCTTTCGTAGGAATTCCGAAACCTATCATAGGAATGTCGCACTAATAATAGGAATAAAAAAAATTCAGGGAAACCAATTATTAGCTATAGGTGGGGCTGGAGACACGTGTTTCCAGCCCCACCCACGGGAATCGTTTATTTGCGGCCGGAATTCTTTCGTAGGAATTCCGAAACCTATCATAGGACCTCATAGGAATGACGGCCTAATTAAAGGAATAAAAAAAATTCAGGGAAACCAATTATTAGCCATGGGTGGGGCTGGAGACACGTGTTCCCAGCCCCACCCACGGGAATCGTTTATTTGCGGCCGGAATTCTTTCGTAGGAATTCCGAAACTTATCATAGGAATTCATAGGAATGACGTGCTAATTATAGGAATAAAAATAATTCAGGGAAACCAATTATTGGCCATGGGTGGGGCTGGAGACACGTGTTCCCAGCCCCACCCACGGGAATCGTTTATTTTCGGCCGGAATTCTTTCGTAGGAATTCCGAAACCTATCATAGGACCTCATAGGAATGTCGCACTAATTATAGGAATAAAAAAAATTCAGGGAAACCAATTATTAGCCATGAGTCGGCCTGGAGACACGTGTTCCCAGCCGCAACCATGGGAATCGTTTATTTGCGGCCGGAATTCTTTCGTAGGAATTCCGAAAACTATCATAGGAATGTCGCACTAATTATAGGAATAAAAAAAATTCAGGGAAACCAATTATGAGCTATAGGTGGGGCTGGAGACACGTGTTCCCAGCCCCCCTAACGGGAATCGTTTATTTGCGGCCGGAATTCTTTCGTAGGAATTCCGAAAATTATCATAGGAATTCATAGGAATGTCGCACTAATTATAGGAAAAAAAAAAATTCAGGGAAACCAATTATTAGCCATGAGTAAGGGTTGGAGACA